TAATTTTGCCTAACCTCACATGTTGTTTTCTGCCTGTTAGAAAACTAATAATCCACCTACAAGTATGCACAGGCACAGTAAGCTGGATCAGTTTGTTGTACAGAATTTCTGGTACAATACAAAAAAAGAGGCTGTCAGGGCATGTTCATATTATGATCACATGCAAACGCAGAAAGGCCCAGTGCATATGTAGTTTTATTCTACATTTTTTCTCTCTCTCATACTTATTTCCCCCATCTTCATATTTCCTTATACCTGAACAACTTTCAGTATCGACACTGGTTGTCATTTGGAAGGATTGTACCCCAAGTAACTCATCCTCATCGTTTCCTTCATCTTCCCCATCCTTATCACTGTCCGATGAAAGCACTGGTGCAGATGAGAGGACAGAGACTGATTCATGCCTAGAGAGATAACATGAAAATGAGCTTAAAGTATATAGTAAAAATTCTTAATAAAAATTGTTTTGCATACAGCTCCATTTATATGTTACAAATAGAAGGCCAGATCTGGGTTTTCTGGAAAATTTTGAATTGGAAAATGAGTATGATTCCAGTTAGCATATTTCTCTTAATGTCCATGGTCAACACAAGTACTTGGGCTACATTATTTAACATGAGGGAGAAAGAACTGTGAAATCCCTGCTTCTCAATTTTTTAGAACAAGCAAACATCATACAACTTTGAAACTGCCAAACTTGCCCAGAGTGGACAAATTTTCCATGGGGCATTTTGACCTTGAAAAAACTTCCAGCTCACATCTCTCTTGGGATGCCTGTAAAATTCTGAAAATAAGAGTCATGTGTACAATTAAATTTCTCCCACTCAAAATCAATGCTACTTCAAAGCCCTTAAACAGCACCAAATTGTACCCTTTACTCATTTACTTTTATCATGTTTATTTTAGCATTATTATAAAAATAAAATCTACAGGCAACACTACTATTCTAGGAAAAGAAAAATCAGTTATACTGCCATGAGGAAGACTACAGTGTTGCATTTTTAACCATGAAACAAGTAAAAAGAATTCTTAAAGTATCTAAGATAAATGTTTAATTACAGTACAACTGATAAAGCAGGAATTCCTGGCATATTCTCTGAGCATAGATGTTCAATATGAATACATAATTGCTTACATTTCTTTTCTAGCCAAAGCAACTAAAGCAACTAAAACTATCAGTTCCAAATAATGCCACATTTAAATTCATCCACTTACCACCCATTTCATGCCCATACATAAGAAAACTTAGAGTTCTATCATCATGCAAAAATTAGGACAAAAGGTTATTAAGGTCTTTAGTATTTCTTTCTTACACAAAGGGAATATTCAGGCTTTCAAATTAATAGGCTCATTAAAAACTATCAAGAATTATCTGCAAGTGTTACTTCTACATTGCTTATAGTGTTTTCCCACTGTTCGGATTCATCCACAGAACTGGGCATCTTCAGGACAGATCAAAAAAGGAAAGATGGTGGTGGTGGCAGTGTGATCCAAGCCCTGCCTCTTTTTTTGCATGTGTTGTGTCATACAGTATGCATGCACAAAGGGCAGAGCTTCCATCTTGCCGGTTTTAACCTTCCCTGCAGATCCACTGGGCTAGGTTACTTTTGAACATATGAGTGACTGAAAGGAGTCAAAAGGCTTTCACTAAAATTGTGGAGATGTGAGTCCAGAAGCTAAGAAGTGACCTGATGGAAAGGAACCACTCTAATTTATTGGTTCACAAAGGGAATTAAGGGTCTATGTTGCCCTTATGCCAAGGGGATGTTTATAATATCATGCTTCCTTTGTTAATGCTTGTGTAGATATTTTCAGGAGAGCATAAGTGTGGAGAAGGATAGCAGGTAGTAATTCCCTTCCTTCAAAACGTGATCCACTAGCAACTAAGTACAATAATTAAATTCAGAGCAAAGACAAGGTTAATATGAATCATGAGCATCAGGAGGGTACTGTCAACATCAAGCTGGCAAGACCAATCAAGTTCTACCAGCTGGAGTCAGGCATAAAACAGTACTGTGCAGTATATCTAGCATAAAGTCTATAGGAGACAGCATTCATTTAAAATTAAGGACAGGATGCCCCAAACTATATTGATAGAAATTCCCTCTTCAACTTAAATATTAAAAGTTAAAGGGCTCTGTCCTCTATTACATCTTGCCAGTCTAATTTCCATCCTGGGATTTGTTTTCAGTATCAAAATTGAGCTCATAATCCTTTTCTTAGAAAAAAGAAAGAACAATACAATCTATTCCAGCTTCTCCATCAAGTTTTTCTTTAACAGCATGATGTAGAATAAAAGCAGCTGTTGATATTGTTGAACAGTTGGTAGTCAGAAGCTCTTTGCCAATCATCCAGCAAAGGTCTGTATCTTACTCCACCTCCTAGAGAGTCTAGATGTCAATAGGCACCAAGGCTTAGAAGTAACCAAATAGCGGCAATAAATGGCATCCAGGGCTTGTTTGAAGAATGTGGTGGCCCAATACACCACCACATTTGGAGCCCCCATACCAGCCCTGGATTAACAGTGCAGATAGATTCCTGCAAAATGAGATATTGAAACTATTAATTCGAAGTGGAATAATTAGAGTCATAGAATTGGAAAGGACCTCAGAGATTATCTAATCCAATCCCTGCTCAGTGCAGGGTTCATTCCAGTGAAGGGAAAACAACATATTCCACTTGTGTGTGCTCTTACTATCCAGAAATTCCTTACAATATCTAATTCTACATTCCTGAAGAGCTTCAATCTGTTGGTTCTGGTCCTGATTTTCAAAGCAATAGAGAACAAGTCCACTCCTTCCTCTTTAAGACAACTCTTTAGCTATCTGAGGACTGGTAAAAGAATCTGAACTAAATAATATATATCTACTCTAACGGTTACAAAAGTCACTATAGAGAAAAATCCTGCTTTGGAGAATTACCCCATTGGCCAATCTACCCATTTGCCTATGTATGGACTTGGCCCTAAAAAAAAAATAAATATCCCTCCATCTGATCTACCTGCTAGCTAGTGTGGAGCTGTGTTAGCCAATGGGAAGAATGGCTGACTTGAAAACACCACTGATCCAATGTGGCCATTGGCAATTTCAGAACTGAGTTAGCCTATTGGTAGATTGCCAGCCTAAAAACCCAATCAACTTGAGACAAACACATGGACTGAGGAATTCTGGGAGTTGAAGTCCACACATCTTAAAGTTGCTGAGGTTGAGAAAAAACTGCTTTAGGCCATTAAATCCAATCAGTTTAGTTAAGTCCCTTTTAAAAAACAGCACACATAAGGTATTAATATAAAAAGGCTTGAAAAAATTACAGCCTTTAGTAAGTAAGTCAAGTGTGGATTTACTGTCTATTTCTTCCCAATACCTAACAAAATGGAACAAAACATGAAATTCCATTGTTATTAGGTAACAGGTTTTCTACCGCAAAACACTGGAAAACCAAAATATGTCTGTCTTTGGATCTATGTTATTTAAAAGTGTGGGAAAGAACACTAACTGGAAAATGGAAATAATAAAAAGTCTTAAAAGGACCTTGTAGTTAAGACTTGTTTTACTCACATACAGTCTCCATTTTTGAGTTTTATGAAAGAAGTAATTTCTACTAGATTACTTCTGTCACTACAATGTCTTCTTGACAGAGTTGCTTTTTAACAAGATGGGCGGTGACAAATTTGATACATACATACATACATACTGAATATGGATATTTTTGTAAAAAAAAAGTATTTCTCCTTAAGAATACAAATGTACCCACATATGCTCTGAGACTCTTTGTTTTTAATATATTTTTTGGTTGTTTTGCTTTTTATTTTGTTGATGCATTAAGTTTAAAAATATAAAGGATCTGAAGAAAATAAATAGCATGCATTGCCATCATTATAAATGTCACTGTGAATGTAGCTGCCTGTCAACCCCTCAGGCTATAGTGTCAGCCCATATCCCAATAAGGGAGAGGTGTCCTCAGCCAAGCACAGCCGGCGATTAGCACAGCCCCTTCCTTTTCAGGAGACAGGAAAGGATGGGTCCTTGTAAAACAAGGAGAGGAACGCCAGTAATGTCTGTTGACCAAGAATGGGAAAAGCCAGGATTGCCATCTTTCCCCTCAGCATTTCATTAAAGTTTGGAATCCCCCCTAAAAGGGAAATTCTTTAGAAAATAAGATCAACAAAGTATTTTGTTGCTGCTGCTGTTCTTTTCCTTGATAATGCTTACTTTTTAATTATTGGCATTATCCATCATTTTTGTGCTTACGTATATTTTACATTTCTTTTTTTATGAAAGACACTTTGTTAAATGACTTCAAAAAGCGGGGGGGGGGGGGGGGGGGGGGGAGGTGACTTTCCAGTTCTTTAACAGATATGGGAGCACGAGCTCTTTTCTAGAAAAGCTGAACTTATCCTGGTACAGAATTAACAGAACCAACGGCATAATTTCATCTGTTTAAGTGCCATGTTTTTTCATTTTATCTGCTATTATAACTGCATTTTGAACTGTAACACTTTAAACAGCTCTACAAAGACAGAATTTTTGAAGAATGTACAACCTACACAAAATTAACTCAGTCTCTCTCCTCTCACCTCCTATACATATAAAGAACAGCTCAAGAATTCAGAAAAGAACTCACCAAGAATCTGAAGTCTCAATAAACCATTTAGTTATGGATGTTAAAAAAGAAGAGAAAGAATTCTGATAAAAATAGAAGGATCCACACAATTTTTAATGACCATCAGCTAAGCATTTTGCCACAACCTAGAACAGTAGTTATCAGCTCAATCCTTCAAAACCATAGTTTGGAGATTTGGGAATGTGATATTAAAACATACACTCCTCTACTGCCATCCCCATTCCTTATAATTTCTCTTCTCAGGTTCTTGATTTGTTCTAACTAAAGGGGTGTATCTAGAAAAAGCTTCTTGTAGTCAGGAGGACTTATGATACAGTTTTTCTACTTACTGAAATGGGAAGAGGCAAGAATGCAAATCCTGCTCTTTTCCTGCAGCCTTTATCTCACCAAACATCTTTGATGAGACATTGCACTGGCAGTTATGGAGTTGCAAGAAAGGAGAGAATTGGAAAAAACAAACGTTTTACTCCATTTTTCCTCTAGTGGAAATATTCTGAATGGAATTTTGCCTGGGACACTCCCCCATTGCCAATTAAAACTAGAGCTCCACCAACATCTGGATCTATAAGTTATAATTTGTGCTACCTTTAAAGAATGCTTTATACTCCAAGCATAGTCTCAAATCAATGATTTGGAACAAACGTAATCCATTATTTCCTACATCGGTCATCATAGTAAAGTACAATCAGAAAAAACTAATAAGCCACATGCAAGGGACAAGAATAGAGTGGTAGAGGACCAACAGCACAAAATTCAGATCATGGTTTGGAAGAACAAACCCATGTCATGTCAGACAGAGACCATATTTCAAGTATTTTTTTTTCTTTTTATTATCTCACATAGCAGCCTTATTCCTACAATCTTCTAGAAAGCTCATGCTTTGTTCATCTTGTGACACTTTCAAAACATACAGCTATTAAAGCTTGGATTATCCAACTACATTCATCATCATTTTAATTGTAGAACAAAGTTTAAGCAATGAAACTAGAAAGATAAACTCAAGGTACTATAGACCAGTTAAATGTTTCTGCCAATCTTTTTCCTAGATTACAAAGGAAATAACTTTATTTATTTATAAATGTATCAGGTTGCCTGATTCCACAGCAACATAAAAACCATATCCATCAAGCTGCAACCCTAATCTAAATACTTGCTTTCAAAAACAAATTCATACACATAACATCACACAGAATTCTCAGTGTTTCAGCCCCACTCAGTGATGCTCTAATAATGGCTTACGTTCTTTCAGCAAGTGGCCTTCTCTGATCTCTTCTTATACAGCAAAACCAGGGCCAACCTAGAAACAGAAGCTGGCCAAACAGAATGGATCCAGCTCAATGAAAGAGGTCAGACCTGTTTTCCAACCAGTTGCTGGGCTGGTATGCGTTAGACACAACCTTCTAACGAATAGCATGTGACGAATAGCCTTGCAATATTGACAAGAAACCAGGAGTGTCTGATACAGGCTGTGCCTCAAAAAAAGCAGAGCAATGCAGCAGCTGGGATGGTGAAGAGTTTGCTATAAAAAGAACACTGCTCCACAGCTCCAGCATTTTTGGCTTGAACGGGCTTCTCCCAAGCTAAATAAGAACATAGAGGAAAAGATATTACAGGGTTTTTAATTTCAGCAATGACTCAGCAAGGATTAGAAAACTGAAGTGTCAAAGCTTATCTCAAGACTATGTCAGATTGAGCCTAATTCTTCTAACACACACAACCTGCTTCCCCCTTGTTCTCCCCAAATGGTTGCCCACTCCCCATTACATCTAGGAAACCTTCAATTTAGATGATAAGAATTCCCAACAGGCCATAGTTGGTTTCATTTTTTAAAGAAGATAGGTTGCCTAGGGGAAAACCCTTTTGATTAGAAAGTATTTATTTATTTACTCAATTTATAGGCCGCCCATCTTGCACCAGTGACTCTGGGTGGCTCACACAGGATTAAAAACTCAAATAGAGCTGAACTATAATAAATATACATAATGGCATCCAAGGACAACGACGAATTTCAGCAAATAGCACATCAATCTTGAGGGCCCAATTATCTTCATTTCTCATGTACAGATCCATGTAAATTAATTCTGACACAAAAACCAGCCCCTTACTTTTCTACTTTTCTTTTCCGGACATTCCATAAGTTTGTCTACAACTGTAAAGTTCTTCTCTTCAAAATAAAATCCAGTAACTGCTACCATGCACGTTTTCTGTATTGAGCACAAGTATTTAAGAAGCACCAGCTGTTTGTTTTTCTGTACTGAGGATAGACATCTGATAAATAGCATGTATGTGAACTATTTACAACAGAAATCGAGGTAAAGGCTTTTTAAAGATGTTTAAAGAAAATGAGAAGAAGCAAACATCTAGGTGAGAGAATGAGAACATCCAGCAAACATCCATTTGCCTATATGTGGTTCTAGATATGAACATTTCCTCAACCATATCTTGCATGACAGGGCTGTTTAATGCTTCAGGTTCAGAAAAGTGATTTGAATAAAATTCAGATGAGTCTCCTATTGAAGTGACTTTCTAACACAAAGCAGTCTGGAAGCTCTAAATTGGACAATTTCGATAGCTAATGTGCATATGCAAAAGCATGTTCTTCCCAACTGATTCACAAGTCTGAATCAAACCATTTTTTTCAATTGGGTCATTTTGCATTTTAATGCAAAGTTACCTAATTCATGTTTCTTAAACTAGCTTGCAGAGCAAAATGTAATTTTGCGCATTTTGAAATTTAGTAGGTTCTCCAGAAAAAAGAAGGGTTTACAAATGTGTATAGAAAGAAAGATATATACAAAAAGGATATCTTAATAAAACAGTGTCCAAAAACATTTCAGAAAATATGACTTGAAAAGGCAAATATGTAATTCCAACTCTAATACTAATATCTATATCCAAATAAATGCATATTCATTTTGCAAATATTTTAAAAGAATAATTCACTGACCTGATCTGGAAATAGCATTAAACAAAATTGTACCTGGAAGAATAAGAAACTGAACCCTGAATAGACAGACTTGTCTCCATGCCTATTCTTGCATTAAAATTGCCACCAAAAATGTCAATATGTTATAAGAATAAATATAACACTATTCAGAAGAGAAGACATCTGTCCATAAATCTCACAATCCCATACAATCTGGTCAGAAAACTTTTTTTTATGAACTAAAAGTGATACCAACACTACGTCTTACCTGGTGAGACCAACTGTTTTGCCTGGTTGAGCTTTCTCTGCTTGCTTTCCCCTTTGTTTCACATCAGCCAGCCGTTGACGCATATTGATGGTCATCTCAGAACTCAGACGCCAGATGAAAATACAGCTGAAAACAGAAGGGGAAAAAATATTCATTTTAACCCAGGCATCACAGTCTGTTCCTGATATCTATATCCCTGTGTTTTCCATATTCTCCCATTCCATACCCATTCCACAATGGGCAGTATTTACCTGGAACCCACTGCTTCCTATTTTAATGTTGCTAGTTCAAAAGGTATAAGATGCTACAGTTTTAACTATCATCCTCCCATTTCCTGATGTGTTCAATATACTTTACTTTAAATCAGGCAACTTTTTGCATAAGAGATCAAACTTTCATTAAAAAAATAAATAATTGATATCAAGGGTCTTGGAAGGTATGACAATGGTGCCACAGAGGTGCCTAAATTTTTGGTGGGAGCATTGGGGGACTTGGAGACAAGTAGAAAATAGATACATTCAAATACTTATTTTTACTGTCACTCCCTAAATAAAGCCAGCAATTGCACCACAGTAAATCAGTATTTGGGTTCCAGATTTCAACAGCATAATCTTGGAGGGCCTTGGGAGTCATAAAAATGACTCAGGTGAGAAGCATATACAGTCTGTTGGTTGTCCAGCTCAAGATAACAGCATTTCACATCCTGTTTTCAGACCTAAGGAATCTCCATTTTTATTTGAAAGTTACCAGTCAGGAATGTAAGATAGAAAACAAAGCAGGTGAAACAGCCACCCAAGGACTCTCATTTAAAAATTCTTTGCAAATCCAGTCCCGTTTTTTAAAAAAGAAAACACTAACTTTCATTGTATAGATTAAGTTCTAAATGAAGAATATCCCTTCACTTGCCTGTCCCCAGAGACTGAAATCAAGTGTTTGCAGTCATTACTGAACATCATCCCAGTTACGATCTCTGTAAAAATCAGAACAAGTCAAAGAGTTTTTAAAACCTCCCAGTGCAAAATAACATCAATAGGGTAGCTTGGAGATCCTTGGCATTTCTTCATGCCCTCATGATCTATACACACCCAGAATTCAAGTCTGAAGGATTACCAAAGAGGCAGCTAGGAGGTGGGCAAAGGTACTGCCATCTGCCTGCTTCCTGCAGGACTGTAACAGGGCCATTGGCCACCAACTGTCCTGCATGAAGGAAGAGCAGGCACATTCAACAGTAGGCACCTACACAAATCTGCCTGGCTTTGTTCTAAGGGTACAGTTTGTAATGTATTGATTATACACTATTACTATGAAGAGCTGTTTTGAGGCCTTCAGCCCAAAACACAGAAGATAAATCTATTCTTATAATATTCTGTTGGCCTAATTTTAAAAAATCTCTTATAAGCAAACACAGCTACTATCCCATCTACCTAAGGATCTGCATATTTCATTAAGTCAAAACTGTTTCCATCCTTTAACAGCTGGATTTTATCTTCCAAAATGAGAAACCAATAATAATTTTCCTTCCCGAAGCTCTGGGAGGATCCTTGGTGGAACTGAACACTACTTCCATACCCAGAAGGACTCAATTTCTCACTGAAATTGAAATTCTCATGTCTGCAGAATTTCCAGCAAACCAGCAAGGAGTGTAACCTGGAGCCAATTGCTATACTTGCCCCTCCAACCTTCCCTCCCTCCGGAACTTTAACTTTCTCTGAATATATATTTTATCATTATTTAATCGAAGTAAAATATATTTCTTTCATTTAAAAATATATTATATAACTAGTTAATATTATTCAATTAATATTCACCATGGAGGTCCTGCACATTACCTGAGTGCCCATACATTGTGGCTACACATTCGCCTGAATAGAAATCAAAGATAGAGAGGTTCTTGTCAGAACAACTGGTTGCAATATACAGACCAGAAGGATCCATTTGCACCTGAAACAAGTAACCGAGAAAGGGAAAAAACATAAGCATGTATATCTATGGTACAATTTCTAAGGCTTAGAAAATTGGATTTGTGTGATTTTTGCTACGTACTCAGAACTAATACTCTGTACTTAATGACTCTTTCCATACTTCATGCCAACTACATCTATCCTGGGAAAATATAATTAGCGCAACACATCTGAAACATAAGTACCAGGTTGCAAAAGACTGTTTTATGCTGCATATGCATTTGCAACCACACCAGTTTTTCCTGCCATGATTATGCAAAACCTAGAGTGGACTCAAGCCAGAAGATTGCGCCAGCTTGGATCTATGTGTTTATCTTTATTATGGGGTAAATCAATGCAATGTCTGTATTTGCAGCTAATCAAATTTCTGCATAAGTTGGCATGAGGTTTTCTGAGAACCCCACTGGAAGATTTTGGGGAAAGTAGCCATGTTTACTAAGTCCTTGGCTCACTGTGACTGTGATCAATAATCTTGCTCATTCACAAATTCAGGGAATACATATACAGCAGTTTGTGTATGTTGATCCAGAGTGCACAAAATAGGTTTCTTCAATACATACAAATAAACCTCTTAATGAAGAATATTTACAGGACTATACATTCATCAGTACAGTGAAACTACGTAGAGCTTAACAATACAGGAAGTTGGAAGTTGTGGTCACATGAGGTCCTCGCTTAACAACGGCAACTGGGACTGCTGGAATTGCTGTTGCTGAGCGGCAGAGTCATGTGACATTGTGCTTTATGACCACATCGCTTAGCAACAGCAATTCCAGTCCCAATTGCCGTCATTAACCAAGGATTACCCGTAAGAGTGTTGGTTCCTTTGACTCATATTTGCAATTAACACAACATTAGGTGAAAATATGACCCCCATGAATGAATAAGAGCACACATCAAACCCATCTGCTGTTATAAAGTTACATAAAGAATCAGATCACAAATACAGCAAAATATGTAATTTCATTAATGTATTTTAGTACTTGAAATGTTCTTTAAGTTTATTTTTATATTACTTATATTACTGATAGCTGCCTTGATTAGAGGAAGGAAGGAAGGACCAACCAAGGATACTCAGCACTGATTTAGGTATAACCTGCTTATTCCCTGATCTCTTGTGGAAATACTTTAGGAACACACTGCTGCTAGAAAAGTTTTTTTTTTTTCCCCCTGAAATAAATTCTGAGGATCCTCAAACCAGAAAACAGCTTCAGGTGTTGAAAAAAAGCTATCATAAAACTGTCACGTACAGCACGCAGGAGTCTTCCAAGGCTCTTGGAGGAAGAGCTCCAGGATTTGCAAGGCTCCATACCCAATGGGAAGAATGCATATGCATTAAATATTGCTTATGCAGCACAACTAGATTTTTATGTATATGGGTCAGTTGAGAACAACAACAGAGAAATTAGACACAGCTGCCACTTTAAAAACAAAGCATACATTAAAGAACTTCTAAGCCATTATTCATATGCTCTTCCACTGTTAGTGAAGGATTCAAAATGGGAAAGTTATGAATCACAGCTAATTTCTGGAAGACTGGAACATTTATGTTGCTCTCTTTTGTTTTCATGAGCTTTTCTTTAATTTACAGCTGGAATGCTTCAACAATCTGTGAATCATTTTGTAGCTTACACAAATCCATCAGTAAATGCTATATTCCAGTATGTTAAGTATTCCATATTAGATAGAACTAATTTAAAATCTTATTGTCCAATTAGAATATCAAGCTGGGAGGGTTTAACAGGCATAACAAAGAAATGGGGTGTAGAGAGTAAGATGGAATGGGACACAATTTGTTATATTGGAGTTAATAAAGGCCTTACTTTAATTAGAGTGCCATCTTCACTTTGGGATCCCTTGTATAGTTTTTTTTGTTTCCCACTGCTGATGTTGAAAATCCTAAGAGGAAATCCAGACGTACAGTAAAAAGAAAGTCCTGTTACCCTTAGAGCAAATCAAGCTACTTCTGATTTGCTTTTTATAGCAGCTAGCAAAATGTCTCTGGAAAGTTATCAAAATAAGCATTGTTCATATGCCTGAATGTAGAAGTTCCATTCATAGCTAACAGAGAAACATTTTTCCCCATAAATTTGTCTAGCTCTTTTTTTAAGTCTATCTAAATTAATGGCCAACCTCCTCACTACTTTGTTTTTGCCACTGCTCTTCATGGGTAAATTTCTGCCCGCTTACTTTGCATTGGGTGCAGAACTTGAGTAAGTGGCGCCACACACTGATGCATCTATTTTTGTTCCTAAAATATTAGATAGAACTTGGTAGTACGGTCTTCTCCTGTAACCTTTTGAATTCTGATACACTGGAATCCCAGATATACCTACTCAGAGGTAGGTCCAGTGGATTTGGTGAGGCTTGCTCCAAAGCATGTGGATAAGACAATATCAAAATGTTCAGAGTCATAATTTTAAGTTCTATGAGGAAAAATTTTTAAATAAAAGAAAGATAATTAAATACCTAGAAGTTTTTTTTTTTGTTAAGAAAATGAAAATTACATGTGTCTCTTCAGGAAAACAAGGCAAGATTATTTTAGATTTAATAAAATATCTAGGCAACATGTGTGCCACACTGTCATGTTCAGCCCAAGAACAACAATGAAACAGTCCAGTCCAGTGTAGTTCCTTTATTGGTTATACACTATAGACAGAATCTCGCCAGACTAAACCTATCCTAAAGCTACTAGTGGATATACCCTGTGAGAGCCTAGGGAGGGGCCAGCCTCAGCCTCTTCTTCTTCTCACGGTCCTGCTGTGGGCTGAGAAAGTGCTTGCCTTGCCCCTTCCTCTGGAATGCACCCCCTCCCTCCTGATAGCCTTAATCTCTCATACCAGTCTCCTCCTCGCCTATGCCTTCAATTACACACATTGACAGGTCCTAGCTAGGTCAAAATTAAATCTCCTTCTAATAATGTCCTTTAAAAATATAAGCTTTTTAGTTCCATTTAGAACTGGGAAATTCCTAATACAATTTATGGACCAACCTGATATTACGGTCTTGGCATCCAATAGCAGCATATTTCCAGTTAGGGTCCACATCCATATCATAAAGGGTGGTCTTTCTAACAACATGGTGTGTACGAGTAAAGCGGACCCCATCATTTGTCTAAATACAAGAAACAAACACAATGAAGCCTCCACAATACTTAACCAAATAGTCTCAGTACACATGTACAATATTTTCCCCAAGAAGGAACTATGTGTGTCTCACACAAAAATGTGAGAAACAAAAGACTGGAATGAGACAATGGTTGAACTACTCTATGAATAGTACTATTATACCGTTCCTAAAATTTGATCTTTTAAAAAATGTATTGACTGAAAGAAAGCCATGAGGCCTAGAATACTGTCCAAAGCTTTTGCTTCCATAACCCCCCTCCCTTAAAATAGATCTACAACATACGTTACATAACGAGTGACTGCTCTAATGGAATTACCTTCTGTGCAGTGCGGAAATAGATGCTCTTATCAGCGCCACAGCTGATCATTCTCACCTTTCCATCGTTGGCTGAAGGAAGAAAAAAATGCAAAAGCCCATGAACAAGAAGATGGGCAATCAAAGTGCTTTGTAATTTCTTCTATGTGCCCTTACTCATTCCTTACAGTTTCTCTAGATGGGCCATTTGTCACTCCTACTAGGATATGTTGTGGGAAAGGGGTAGGATACTTCCTGACTTCAGAGGCACCCAGCCAGACTAAAGAAACCTCTCTCGTTTTTTTCTGACACTGCAGCTAAGTTTGGGGAAAGCCTTCCAAAACAGCCAAAGAAATGTCCATTCCTCCTCCTCAGCCTCACCACCCCCAGCCACTGCAGAAAGTAGGGGAAGAACTAATTCTCCCTGCACATCAGACTCCAAAACTGGGTTATTTACATACTATAATTAAGGCTGGAAAAAGAATCCGGCCCAAAGATAAGCTAACAAACAAACAACTGTCCTTGTCATATTGATGAATCAAGCTCCATCCAATTTGAGAATCACTGGTGGACACTTGATGGCTCAGCAATAAAGGCCATTCTATCTGATAATAATTAACCTGATTAACCATATGTTCATCTTTTAACTGGCCTCAATGGACCAGTTTAAACACCTGAAGGACTAGGAGTTTAGAACTAATTCTTATTGAAGACTACTCTGTGAGGATGAAGTACAGCAAACATTGCTGCATTTTTCACTGGATGAGAGAAAAACTGACTATTTAGAATAGTCAGGACTCCTTACTATTCAGGATACAGGACACCCTGTGGACACATTATAACATGATAATCAAACAGTGAGACCCTGTGACAACTTCTTTAACTCCATGCTAGAAGGCAGGGATACCTTTCCATTACTATACCACCACAAATTGATTTGAGAATCTGAATCACAACTAGAGGAACAATCTGCAACAAACAGCATCTATAAATAGCTGTACAACACAAAAGCAAAATAGTCAAGGCCAGTGTGGCAGCTTAAGGCAGAACAAAACATGGTCAGTTTGATAGGAAATATACTGATTGACTACAAACAAACAAACAAACATTTAGTACGCAAGCTCTACACCAGGTACATGTTGCCTTCCAGATATTAATGGACTATAACATTCAACAACCTTATCACTGACTGGATCAGCAGCATCTGGAAGACTACACATTGTCTAGCTCTGCTCTACATTTATAAGTTGTTTTCTCACTATTGCAATAATTACTAATAGTCAAAGAAACAAAGGGCAAGAACTTGGATCTTATGAAGAGGTAGGATGAGAAAACCTTGATAGATCACCAAGAGCCACAATCAAATGAGCAAAGTAGTTTGCTGACTCATAAACACAATCACAGTACCAGCAAACTTCACTGCAGTTATGGAAGATGAATGTTCATCCAGGGTCTGCTGTAGGCTATAATCCTTCTCTGCATCCAAGACATGGATCAGTCTATCCCGACTTGCTGATGCCAGAAGTTTCAATCCTGTATAGGAGATAAGAAAGGAGCAGAATGCTTATCTACCTGAAACTCAGGTTCCTTGACTAATCATCAATGAATTCACTCACATTTGTGAAATTCTAGAGCACAGATGGCTGATGGGAGAAAGAAAAGAGGCATATTGTAAACTAGGGTTATGAAGGCTACCAAGGAACTCAGCCAAGTCCTTTGCAATGACCTTCATCCAAAACAGGACTAGTGAAAAGAGACTGAGACACACTCCCAGACAAAAAAGAAATATATCACATAAGGACAAGTAACCTACTCAGACTCTGCTGCAATTTTAAGGGCACTCACTGTTGGAATGAAAAGATAGATCTGGGTGTACATTAACACTGAAAAACCTTCCCTACAGTGGAAGCACTTGAGCTAACATGGTTTGCTGGGTAGCTTTCCCAGGTTGCCAAATAAATTACCAGGAAGATGCACCAGGAACATCACCAATCCTTTATTTGGCAAGTGAAGTTTAGAAAGGGAGAGGATTTCATACATCCTTGCTTGTTGATATAAAGTATCATACCTTGGTCAAATTGTCTTGGGTAATTTAGACCACTCAGGGCAAAGAAGGGCTTGAATTATTTAACTCTTTGGAAACTGCAAGCAACTCCAACTCACGGATGTGTCAGCAAAACTAGAGGTACAGCTGCCCATCTATGATCACTCAGTGGTGGTCATCATTATAAGGCAGTGGGCACCACATACTAGCATGAAAGCATTTGTCATCACAATGATTGAGGGCACAAGTGGGGCACTGTATACTCTACCAAGAAGATTCTTCAGTGTTGAAGCAGCAGTTCCCAAAGGAGATTCAAAAGGCTGCCAGCACTATCATGCTAGCCTCCTGGTCTTCCAGGTATGGAACAAAATAAAATATTCTGTCCTAATGAAAATTGTACTTCATGCTCTCTCTCAGTCTCTCTGAATACATATACCTGGTAATTGGCAAATGAGAATGGTACAAATAGAGATGTACATTTATGCCACACAGAGTCCAGCTTCTAACCCTCTTTATCTAGCAGGGTAGAATGTTGGCTTTGTTGTGAATGGGTCTGAGAAATTTCTATTACAACGGAATTAGGCAGGAGTCAGGTAAAACAAACATTGGCAATTCTCATTCTGTTCTTAGCACAGGTTATCTATAATGGTAAGAAATAGGAAGCATTAATATTTGGTAAGATTTATAAAGTTCTTGAATAATGCAGAATGAGCAGGAATGACAACCAGGAGGACAACTATATCATGCACCAAACTGGAAAGCTGACTCCAAAATAGCCTAAGCTAATTGCTTTTCTTGTAGACCCAGAGTGTGCGCCATTTGGGCCTTCTGTCCTTCCATCAGTGAAGCTGGACCCCATGAACTCCACTTCCAGGGAGAAGAGAGTGAGTTCCTCTGAATCCAAATGCAATCACTTAAGCTTGTAAGCATCTTCCTTGAAAGATTCCATAGAAAGAGACACTGGAGCCTGTGTACCTGATCCAGGGTTTGGTTAGGATTCCAGATACAGTGGCATTTCATTCCATGGATAGGTTCCTGGGAGAACAATGAAGGGACTGGTCTGCTAATATCTGATAAGCTTTCAGTAAGGTGTGATCATAGTGCAAATTCTGGCTAAACAGTTGCAATTAATCAGTCAAATATGAACTGGATGCGGATGGATGCTGTAGCTTAGCATGTGGTGGCAGATACCATGGTTTAGGTCTGAAATGAGAATACCAAGAATCCTAAGCAAAAAGTATAGGAGACACAAACCCCTGAGTGTGAAGTTAATATCCTGAATATGGATAACCCACGCTTCTCTTCATAATAGGGTAAAGCATAGTGCATCCTACCCTACCCGGGTAGTGAAAAAGCAACGTGTTTTTAGAGGCAGAACAGGAACAGCAGGAAAGCATGGAGCCACTGATAACTGATATCACATGAGGCAGGAAAATTATAAGATCTGTGGTAGTTAAGTGCAGTTAATTCTGAGAATCTCTCTCAGATGTCACTATCTAAGACTGAATTGCCTTTCCCAGCAGCAAATTCTCCAGAAGCAGACTGACAGTTTGGATATGAGAACCTAAGGTACGTGGCAGAGATAAAAACAGCAGTCAGAAAGGCTGCTAAGTTGGATGAGTTGGCAATGAGATTGCCAATACCAGAGGAGAAGAAAAGGTATCTTATAGCAATAACCTGCTCTTAATGGGCTAGGAGCTAACAGCAGTGGAGAATTTTGGAGTTTGGTGGGCCATATGATTTGAGATATTAGAATAGCCTGATGGTATTTGGCTCACCAGATGGTTTTGAGTGACTAGTCAAAAGAGAACTTTACTCCTCACAGTGCAGAAAGGAAAGATACCTCAGGGATCCAAAATTTACAAGCATAAGTCAGTTTAACAGGAAGCTTGGGTTGGTGCCCATTACTTGTTAAGGCTTTTTGCCTGATAGATGCAGTAAGCCTTGGTGGTCTCCTGGTCAGCTTTGTAGAAACCAAACCGTACTGACCGTAAACACAAAGATGAGACTTTACATTTGCACCTTTAGGACTTGTAGAATGCAGCCTTCAAAGTCAGGTGGTTCTAACTGATCAAAAAACTTGCAAGAAATTATGCAATGGCTCAGTGGAACAAACGACCACAAACAGAAGATAAAGGCCACCAGTAAAGCTAAGGAGAGAGAAAAAAATAAACCTGATTCAAGACTTTTAATCATTTGCTGAGTATGGTAGACAAAAAGAAATTGAGAAAAAGAATGGAAGTCACACCTGGATGTCACCAACACAGTGGGATTCTTTGTCAAAAGTCTTAGCTATAAATGCACACACACACACACACACACACACATATAAGATATATATCTCTCTCTCAGGTTCAGAACCCTGTGTGATTTCACAGAGAGCACAATGAAGAACATAGCTGATAAAGAGAACTGGTTCATCCCAGGATGCCATAAGCAAGCAAAAGAGAGTCAAAATTGTTAACCAGCGCGTTATGCTGAGAGTGCTTTATGCTTGTGCTTCAGGCCCTGCACTGGCTCCCAATAAGCTCCCAGGTGCAATTCAGTGCTGATTTTGACCATAAAGCCCAATTTTGACCATAAAGCCCACTTCATATCTGGATACTTGCAGCACAACTTTCTCTATTAAAATCAACCCAGCTGACATGGACATCCTGGGTGAAGCTGCTGGTTGTATCCCACTTCCATGAAGTGAGGGATGCTGAAGCCTAGCAGTACCTGCCCTTTGGAACAGCTCCCAGGTGAAAGTAGGTTTGCCCCCATCTTGATTTCACAGGGACCATTTAAGATGTACGTATGTATGCTTGAGGGATGCCAGTTATGATTTAATTGTATTTAATTCTTATTTTTGTGTTTTCTTATTGTGACTATTTTGTGTTATGTTTAATTTGATTTTACATGGATGTTTTAATGCTACTTACTGTGGATGTTATATCTGTACAACACTGTTAACTGCCAGAAGTCCTATGGGAACCATCAGTATACAAGATGAATGAATTAATGAATCAATCAGTCAATCTTACCTGTCTCTGGTCTGGAATATTCAAGGCAGAGGATTTCAGAATCATGGGCTTCTACCTTCAACATCTCTCTCAGGGGCTTCAGTTCATAGATCCTGAAAAATAATACAAGCAAGTAAGCAGTCAGGAGGAATCTTTTGGTGTCATTACCCAGGGACAGGCTCTTCAAGACTCCAAGGTTTACCTGAGAGTGCCTATCCTATCACCTGAGGCCAGGTGCTCCCCGGTAGGGCTCACACACACTGTACGAATCCCTACTTTTGTATCTACAGCCTGCGTGTCAGCCTTCTCTACACCTCCAGCTGTATTGTATTCCGTGTCCAAGAGGGCATGAGTGTTTTCATCTACATAGATGATTTTCATCAAATCCTAATGAGACAAAACAAAAGACTCTATTTGAAGCAAGCAGATGAAAGCAAAGAGAGGCACAGAGTAAAAGCAGCACTGAAGCTAATCTCTCTCTTAATGTCACCAACAAAGAGCTAAATGGGAAATCTACAGCACCATGGCAAAGCAAAAAAATGCCAATCTTTCTAGCAACTTTAATTGAAACATGTGAATCAGAGAGTTTGAAAATAATATTGCATTGTGGCCAAATATCATAAAGCTAGATAAAACTAAAAAAAAAAAAAGGCTATGAAGCTAAAAACAAATACATGGCTGGTGATACAGGGGAGGAGTTAGTATCAAGTACACCTTCAAAGGAATGCAGGAATAGGACTTCATAGTGAGTTTCTGCACAAGGCCCTGTAATGCAGTGTGAAAGTAAGAGTTGGAAGAAAAATGCTAGAAATCCCTTAGCTTCAATAACTAATTTGTTTTAAATCCTTTTTTTTCCAACTACATGGCTCAGTAGATATGCAACTGAATGCATTAAAACTGGAGATAGAGAATAAGAAGAAAACAACTTCCATTCAAATCAGTTCTGGGATAAGGTTATTTACGGTAATGTTACAAATACATTATCAACCCTATTTGATTATTTTCTTCTCTAGAAGGTAAAATACCAGAATGCCAAAACCATTTGGGGACACTTATACAGCATTATGCCATTCATACTTAGCCAGCTGATTTGCATACATATATTATTTTAATCCTATACTCACAAGGTATCAACAACAATGCATATATAGTTGTAGGGAACCACTTAGTTAAGCAATCACATGTCATCCATTCCAAAAATGGATAGATATATAGTGTGTATGTATGTATATGTATGTGTGTATATAGATAGATATAGATATAGATATAGATATAGATATAGATATAGATACACACACACACACACACACACAAATATACAGTCCACTGTGGGAGACTGAAGTAGCAATATTCCAGGGCAGTGGCTGGTGTGGGTCTTCCGGGCTGTGTGGCCGTGGTCTTGAAGTTTTGTTTCTTTGTTTCAGATGCCGGTCACAGGTGCTGGCGAAACGTTAGGAAACAAAACTTCAAGACCACGGCCACA